ACTCCCCCTTCTGACACTGCTATGCATGGCTATTCTGTCCATGTGATTGTGAGGTACTCGCAAGGACTTCGCGATCACATGGCCCAGGAGGACGGATCAGCCACAGAGCAAGCGGCCGGTTCAACCATGCCAGGAAAATCCCCCCATCGCGATCGCCGGCGGGAGATCGCCAGCGAGCAGGTAGGTACACAGGACGGCGTGGACGTGCCGGGTCCCCAAGGACCTTAAGGGGATAGAAATTGCTAATTATTATTATTACTATTTATGTATACTCAAATACAAACCTACAAAGCAGCTGTAGCACCCATATATAATACAAGCAGCATTCAGCAATAAACACAAGTTAATTTAACCCCTTCAGGATGGAGTAAATAGTACACGTTCTGATCAAAACAAAATGTAAACAAAAACTGGTATTTGCGCTATATGTCTGTTCAACCATAATTCACCTCTTTCATATTAAGTGCACCCACACTTATTATATATCATTTTGTTCAGGAGAAACTGGGCTTTAATTTCTCATGAACTATTCAAATTTGAAACATAATTTATTATGAATAAAATGTAAAAAACTTTGTAGATATTTTAGCTGTAAATGTCATAATACCGTTAGCTTTAACTGCAAAAAACCCCACATGTTTGGATTCAACAAAGTCTCGCGAGTACAACAGTACCCCCCATTAACAGTTTTTTGTTTTGGAATGTTAAAGGGTCAAATATAGCACATTCCATTTTTCAGTTTTTTCAAATTTAAATTCGCCAGGTTGGTTATGTTGCCTTTGAGACCGTGTGGTAGCCCAGGAATGAGATTTACCCCCACGATGGCATACCATTTACAAAAGTAGACATCCCAAGGTATTGCAAGTGGGGTATGTCCAGTCTTTTATAGTAGCCACTTAGTCACAAACACTGGCCAAAGTTAGCATTCATATTTGTTTTTGTGTGAAAAAAACAAAAAAACTAATATTTGGCCAGTGTTTATGACTAAGTGGCTACTAAAAATGACTGGACATACCCCATTTGCAATACCTTGGGTTGTCTACTTTTTCAAATGGTATGCCATCATGGGGGTAATTCTCATTCCAGGGCTACCATATGGTCTCAAATGCAACGTAACCAATCTGGCAAATTTCATTGTGAAAAAAATTAAATGCAAGCCTTATATTTGACTCTCTAACTTTCCAAAACACCATAAAATCTGTACATAGGGGGTACTGTTATACTTGGGAGACTTCACTGAACACAAACATAAGTGTTTCAAAACAGAAAAACATATTACAACAATAATATCGTCAGTAAAAGTGCTGTTCGTGTGTGAAAAATGCAAAAAACGTCACTCTTACTAAATATATCATCGTTGTAATACAATTTATAATTTTGAAACACTAATATTTGTGTTCAGCAAAGTCTCCCGAGTAAAACACTACCCCCTCCATGAACAGGTTTTATGGTGTCTTGGAAAGTTACAGGGTTAAATATAGCGTGTGCGAATTTAATTCTCTGCACTTGCTGCTTGGGTTGTCAGGCACGTCAATCAAATTTTAATTAATTAAATCACATAATTATGTTAAAATACTACTTAAGCATACACATAGAATTTTTATATATATACATATATATGTATTTAAATTCTATGTGTATACTTATGTAGTTATTTATGTAATTATATATATTTATCTATATATAAATATTTGCAGTTATTTGTATTTTATACATAGATATATATAGAATGTCATTCTAAGTGTATTTTGTTACCAATTTATATATATTAATAACAAAATACAGTTAGAATGAGATTACATATGTATATATAATTTATTTAAAATTTAAAAAAAATATTTTAATTATTTAATTATTTTATTGATTTACTATTGTAATTATACGTGTATATATAAATATAAAATATATATATATATGTGTATTATATATAGAATATATATCTTATATATATATATGTAACGTCATTCTAAGTGTATTTTAACATTAATATATGTACTTATAATAACATTAAAATACACTGCGTATGACGTTACATATATATAATATGTAATATATTTTATATATATAAATACTTTTCATTGATTTTAAAACATGTTTAATAATTTTATTTTAAACTTCCGACCAGCAGGGGGACTGTCTGACATTTCAGACAGTCCCCCTGCTGGCAGATCCACAGCCAGCTATAGGGGGCCATGTGATCGCTCTTTGAGAGCGATCACATGGCCCCAGGGAGCCTCATTTGCCGGGGGAGGGCTGCCTGGGCTGTCAGGCAGCCCTCCAGAAGAGGATCGCGGCGGAGGTAAGTCCACCGGACCTCCAGGAATAGGAAGCCGTTACGGCGTTCTATGCCGCCGCAACGGCTTTAAAGCCCTTTTAATGCGGGACGGCATAGAACGCCGTAACGGCGTTAAGGGGTTAACAAAATAGGATATGCACGCCAAGGGACTTCAAAGTCTTATTTTGGCACAGTGCTGCTACACCTAGACTAATGGTTATAGCTCGAAACAACACAATATTTGGCAGGAGTCTTATCTTTTGATTATTTTGTCTGAAGCATTTTGTTTCTCAAATGATTAGGTGTTCTGCCTTCCAATGACAAATTGCTGTGGTGTATCCCACATGTAATAGGAAGTAAGATAACTTACTTTTATGATGATTGATTTTTTTTTTCCTTTTGCTATCTTGAAGTAATGATAAAACAAAATGAAAGGAAAATGTCAGTGAGCAAATAACCACCCACTCACACTTTTCTGACTGACAAGAGCAACGTTGCCCTACACATTCAGTGTTTAGCATCAGTGACTATTTTGTATACAAGGTATACAAATTATTGTGTATTGGGTAAACTAACAAAACGTTATTCTGTAAACTGGGTTTGTACTTGGCGGATTTACTACTGTGAAGTTATTTGCGGTTGATGTTAAGAAACACTGCACATTGCTCGCACACCTAAACAGCACATGCTGGACCAAACACACACACAAAAATTATGATTTAGGATTTTCTTTCTACAGTTAATCAAAACAAACAAAAAAAGGTTTTTACAACTGTACATTTGCTGTATGAACAATGAAAAAATGTCAATCTCCTATCTCCCTCTCAAATTTGTTTCTTTCAAGAGCCCCTTACAGTAGCTGCTAGCCAGGGGCGTACCTAGAGCATTTGGCACCCGGGGCGGATCCTGTGCTTGGCCCCCCCCAATTTGTAAAGACTCCTGTCCAATACAAAACCCCCGCCCCCTTCTACACAATCCCTGCAGCCCCACACACACATTTACAGGCAGACAGTCACACACTCAGTTACAGACAGTCACACACTCAGTTACAGGCAGACAGTCACATACAGTCACAGGCAGACAGTCACATACAGTCACAGGCAGACAGTCACACATACACATTTCCTCCGTGCGGCCAGTTTATCAGCTGTTTGCTTGTGTGAGCTGTACTGGCCGCACGGCACCCTAACTACCATGGGACACTGTGCGGCCACAGCTCACACAGTTCCCTCCAGCCAGGGCCGGTGCAAGGATTTTTGCCGCCCTAGGCAAAAGTAAAGTTTGCCGCCCCCCCCCATGTGACATCACAATGCCCCACCCATATGATTTGCCATGTTAACTAACGCCAGTGCTGCAGTGCTGCCGTG